GATTTTCAAAATCTTCTAATAGTATATCCAGACTGGAATTGATGTAGCATAACACTCGACAAATAAACCATAATCCCAAGAAGTCTGTTTGTATTATCAAATGTAAATAGTTACATAAATTAGAGCATATAAAAAGGAATGTAATTTTCTTCCAAGTATAATTTCGAACATCTGTTGTTGTGTAATTGGCCAAAATCCACTTACATATCCAAAAGAAAAAGAAGCTGTAGAAAAGTTTATTAAAGTTGCGCTGAGTGGACTTAGCAAATGAATACTTTTTCAAATAATTATCCTCAATATTTTTAAATATGAAAAACATTGAGATTTCCTCATGCTCCCTCTTGTACCGGAAAATAATATTGTAGTAGATCATTATGATGAATATTACCAAGGACGCACGATCTGATGCCCACATGAGCTGCGTAGGATAATTGCCATTGGAATCGTCGAGGCCTACCCGTAGAACGAAGGGTAAAATAAGACATGTGGATACGTTTATAAATATAACCACTTTAAGTATAAATGGTTTCTGCTGATAGGTCTTTGTTTTGATATCGTAAATGTAAGAAGAAACACCAATGCAAACCGAATAATATGTGTAACAATTTGTAAGGACATTTTCAATACAATGAAGTATCCTAGGAGACATTTTGTGCCAAACTGTTTGAAGCAATACAAAACCAGGACATTTATACTCCTGTGAATAATAAATTGAGGGAAACAAATTTATTATGTTTCAAATTTATATTCAGATATTTACGATAAGCTTTTATTAAGATTATTCATTTTGGATAGTACGAGTTGGAGTTAAAAATTTTTTATACAGAGTGCTATAATTAAGTAAAAATTTTTGGTTTTTAAAAAATGAGAGATCTAAATTTATGATCCATAAATTAATTTTTAACTATTTAATGAATTAATTTTTTATATTTTTAAACCACACTTTTCAGATTATTTTAATAAAGTCAAATTTGGAAAATAAAAAGTACCTGAATATATATTATTACAAACTAATTATAAAGAACTCTTTACAATAAAAGAAAAGCGAGTAAATAAACATCAAAATTGTCGTGCGCTAACCATGGTACTACAACGAGCCATTATTTGAGCTAAGTCGACTTTGAACAGAAGGTCACACCTCCAACACGATCTAACGCAAAGCTCTGTTAAAGATATGCTCTCAGCAATGGACATCTCTATCAATCATCCAATTTTGCCTTTCACCAGTTTTCATTTTTCATAAAAAGTGCATCATAAGTACCATAATAGGCAATTTTTTTAACCGAGTTAAATTAGTGATGCGATTGGGATTCAAGGAGAGTTTTCACTGTATATGTGGGTATTATAATAATTACTAAAAACCGATAAATCTCAATTTAAATATAATTCTTAATATTTTCAACAAAATTTTTTTAGACCCTCTCAATCAAATTAATTTTTCTTGATTCTCATACCCGCCTTTTAACTTTTAAACTAATTTATAACAATTTATCGGAAAGATCTGGCCATTAATAAACATTTGAGGTTTTTTTTCTACTAATGCAGTTTGTTTTGTACAAAAGGACAAAGTGTCCTGAATGTATAACCACAACAGTTTGATAAAAAATGTCTCCTAGGATATTTCAGTGTATTAGAAATACGTTAATAAATTGTTATACATTTTATACAATTTGCATTGGTGCTTCTTCTTATATTTACGATATCAAAACAAAAACGTATGAGCAAAAACCATTAATCCGCAATGCAGTTATATTTATAAATATTTTCACATGCTTGATTCTACCATTATTTTTATGGAAAAGTTTATATGATTCAGGGCATAACTTCCCTACACAACTCCTGAAGTATCTATACCAAGTCTGCGTGGTTATATTCATCGGAATAATCTACTACAATATTATTTTCCGCTACAAACGAGAACGAGCAACAATAGCAGTGTTTCTCAAATTTAAAGATATTGAGGATAAATATTTGAAAAAGTTCGACTTTTCCAAATCCACAGAACGTTACTTTGATCAACTTTTCTATAGTATGTATTTCACTTGGGTATGCAAATGGATCTTATCTAATTTTATAACAAGAGGCGTTAGAATTAAATCTTGGAAAGAAACTCTTTACGTTTTTGTCTATTCCAATGTCGCAAATTTTTTGCATTTAATTATACAAACAAACTTTTCGGGACTATGGTTTATTTACCGTGTATTCTGTTATATTAATTTGAATCTTAAAACCGTATTGGAAGATTTTGAAGAGCACTTAACTTTGAAGAATACTGGAATTATAGAGAAGCAACAACTTGAATTAAGACTCTATAGAGAACTTCAAAAATTTTATCGTTTACATAGACAAGTGACGAAATTATTAAGAAAATGGAATAACATTTATCGTCTCTACGTTCTTGGCACACATGTCACTCATCTACCATTGTTTACGATACTTATTTTTTTTACCATTGTTTTAGCACTAATCAAATCAAATAATATATTTTGGTTCATATTTGGTATTATGTATAATATATCCCTACTTATGGAACTCTTTCTTCTGCATACAATATGTGACTTGATTATGTCGTCATATAAGGAAACTTTGCTTATATTGCGTTCATATAGCACATGTCAACCCGATTTGCAAAACGTAGATAAAATGGTAACATTTTGAATAAACTTAAAATAATTATAAATCGCTATTATCTAGTTTATAGGTCGAAGAATTTTCTTTGGGACTTCGGACTTCGGATGTGAAAGTGTCTGTATATCAATTATTTTTCATAAACAAACGTGGATTCTTCAACGCCTGTGAAACAATTTTGAAGTACGCAATTGTTTTAGTACAATTTCATCTTTTATTTGACAGATATATGTAATTTATGATATAATATAATCATACCTATATAATATATGTTATACATTATAATATAAGCTAATTACTATTCTTACTCGTATATAGCATTGTTAGTGAGTGCGAATATTTTTTTATTATTAATATTCAATAAATTAAAAGAATAACCAGTAACTGTCAAAGCAGTCCCTTCTTTCGTGCAGTCCCTTTTGGCTCCGCACACTGAGATAGCAAGGTTCCATTATCTGAACACAAGTTAAGTTCAATATTCTCACCTATACCCTTTTTTCTCTTATCTAACACTCAGTCAAAAATAAGTCGGCATTATATATATGGATAAAGAAGTTTTCCATATGTAGCTAAAACTATGGTTGACTATGGTAAAACTGTGGTCCCTTGTCACACATAAATATGTGTATCCCAAAAGTATGCTCCAACTGTAGCGTCCTAAAGCACTTAGAAATTTCTACCCCATCAATTTATGGCTTTACCCGTTAAGATGGCTAGGTGCGTTTGTCTGGACACTGGTAGGTCAATTTTCCCAACTATAGCATTTCGTTCTCTTACCTTACACTCCTTAACTCTCCTCATCCCACTCAAAAATATGTTTCAATAACTTTTAACTTCATTAATAAGAAACTCAAGTGTGAATTGTGAAAAGTAACGCGTATTTGGAAATTGTGCACATATTTTATTTATCGATTCTTGTCTTCTTTTATATATTGGTTGCACTTCCGCTGAAGTACTTATTATCCACTTATCCAGCTGTTCATAGGGATTATAGTATTACAGTGATGTCACAAACGCCCTATTCTCCAGACTTGACACCCAAATATTTTTTTCCCACTTTTTTCCCATTAAAAAAAACATTATTTCAACAATAGATAAAATTATGAGCGATATTGCAGAACGACTTTCAGACTATACTTAAAAACTATTGTGGCAGTGTTACACAAATTTGAAACTACACTAGCTTAAGCTTATGAAAGAAAACCTGTTTAGAACAACCGGATCTACGTTTCAGAGCCATCTATTGTGTTCGCCGACCAAATGCCGTTCAGCACTGTGACAACAGACTACACAAACAGTTCCTTACGGACCATAACAACAAAAACATGTCAGATGAAGGAATAATGTGGGTATGGAAAGTGATAATATAATATTTACTTGGGTTAAGGTGATAAAACCCAGTCACTTGAATGGGATAAAGCTACTAACCAATAAAGCTCAAATTAGTGTATGTATTCAGATATGAAAGCAGACGGATGTCATCATAAGTATGGCTGCAGTTGTCACACACATTAGGAATTGATATATTTATACATGCCAAATAACTGTTTAGAATGTGGCTCTATTCTAACTTTAATTAAACTAGCATAGTTCTTGCTGCGCGAAGACTAGTTGAAGACTACCTTTGAACTTTTTTTTTGAAAAAGTCCTCTTTTATATTAGCTTTTATCAATAAAAATCATTTAGTTTTTGTGTGTAATCTTACTATATGGACTAGGGTAAGTCTTGTGCTTGAAGACTATTTGAAGAGTACATTTCAACTTCTTTTTTTTGTGTGAAAATTTCCTATTTTATTTTAGCTTTTAACAATAAAAATCATTTTCTTATCTGTTTATTATTGTGTTTTTATTGTAAATAACAAAAATAAAAAACGATAAAGCAAAAATCGGAAAAGAAAATTATTTGACTTTTTTTTAATTTTAACAATTTGTTCAAATATTAACTGAAATTTGTAAAGATTTACACTTTTTCTCTTAACCGCCGTTAAGAATTGCAATGTTAAGGCTTTTGATTATAATTATTCTTATATTTTTTTTAATTTTTTATAACTCCAACAAATACTGCAATTTACTTCGATTATTTAATGTTTAATTTATAGTGTAATTTTGACAATTCGAATTAAATTAGACGCTATTAAAAAACTTTTTTGGACTTAATTTCATTTTCAAAGGCTGTTAACTGCAGTCGGTTCCTCCAGATACTCCTCCAAAATTTTTATAATTTAGCTTTAATATATATATATCTATTGTTCGTTATTATAGTTTTTAATTTTTTCTCCCTTTACAGAGCTCTTTAACTGTTTTTTGTTAATTATTAAAAGTTTTTTATTTATATATCCTGTCTTCCGTCCTCCCATTTATGTTGCTATTGTATCCTTACAGACGATATCATTTTTTTTTTAATTGATTACAAAATTTTGGCATGAATTTTTACAAGTGAGATTATGCTTTCGTTTATGGTTTGTGTTGCTTTAAGTTTTTTATTTTTGTATTTTATTTCATTTTTGTTTTTATTATTTTGGTTTTCTTATTTTATTAATATTTTTTGTTTGTTTTTTGTAAATTATTTGTTATAAAATTGATTTAAAGTTGAGTATAAATCTATGATAACTTTTTGGCCTTCTGATAGAGCGTATCTACCACTTTGCCCATACTATGTATGGTTTCTAAGACCCGCTCGTATGTTTTATCAACAGGAGTTTCTTCAAACACTATTAAAACGCCTTCCCCTTGATCCAGAATACCGCTAAATTTTTTATCTAAAATCATTTGAGACAATTTCTTTTCGACTTGGGCCATAGGAAGTTGTATGCAATCAGCAACATGGGAGACCTAAAAAAAAGAAAGAAAAAGGAAAATAAAGATTATAATGAATTCAAAAAAAAAAAGAAAGTCAATACATTTATATATAAGTAGAAATAATAAAAAAAAAATTTAATACTTAATCTAATATCTTTTAAATACAATCCATTTAAGTATGCTTTCTAAAGCGTTCTTTATTTCCTAAACTCAGTTCACTTAGTGAAAGCAAAATTTTTATCCGCGCTTCCTAGTAGCACATAGCGGGCAATATAACAAAAATGGCCAACAAAGATAAAAGCAATGTAGTGAGATAGATAGCCTACAAATCGATTTAGGGCATAAACTGTGCAACAGTATGATTTTGATTACTTATTCTTTCTCTCGCCCAATTATTCAGAACAAACCTTATTTACCTATATTCAATCCATTTTTACTACTAATTAGTTCCCTTCCCTCTCACACTATTTTTACCTGCCCACATTCAAACTGATATATACGCCTTTGAAACTCTTTTCATGTTATCTGCTTTATAGATCCTTGCGGACTATAACAGCAAGAGGGCATGAATTTCTTGTGGTGAAAGATAACATCCTCCAAATACGAATAAACTATAACGAATAGTGTGATTTCTGAAATATATGACAAAGGGACTATAGGGGACCTATATAAGCTGATGAACACTGTATCTATCCAGAGGGAAATTATAGAAATAATATGATATTAGATTGACAACATTTTTAGAAAGAATCAGAATGATATAGCAAAAAACTTGGATATAACCCGCAAGGTTCACAAAGAAAAGGTCGACCTTCGATTACATGAATTCGTTCAGTGTCAGTGGGATGTCACAGTAGAGTCACATTATCGAAAATTAAGCACTTTGCGCAAAATGGTTAAAATTGAAAAGAGCTTGTTACAGCCTTACCCTCTGCAAAAACCGAAATTTATTTTACTGAACATTTCATTATATTGTAAATTAAATTGCTAAAGGAAATAAAAAAAATATATACACCAATTTATTAAGAATAGCATTGGTTAGGTTAGTTTAAACTAATTCGCAACAAAAAAAATTTCTGAATCCGTAACCTTTATCACTTAGAGGCATGTTTAATTATAAACCATTAAATATTATTTAAGCTGAACAAAGTTTCGACCACTTTAATGTTCAAGTAGGCTTATACATTGGGACCACCATATTGTATTCGGGAATTTGCTGTATAGAACGAAACGAAATTAAAATAAATTATTGAACAGATGTACTATCCAAGTACCTTAAACAAATATTTGAATTACACAAACACCATAACACCGGAAATCTTTGAATCATTATTTAATAGAACTGTAGTCTTATTAAGTATGAATTTTTAGACTTCTTTACATTGTGTGCGAATGTGTAGTCCTGTCCACCTTGTACTCGATTTTGCTAGCTACCAAAAGGTATTCTTTGCTCAATATATAATATTAATTATATGAATATTGCGTAATCTTTCTGGTATTCTGCCTAGTTTTTTATTTTTCTTGGAAATTTAGGAATTGTGGTCAGCACACTTTACTTTTTTATTAAGAACTCTAGATTTTGATATTGAATCATACTAAAACATTTCCTGTTCTATCGGGTTTTTTATCTCTCTAACGATGTCAAGAATTTGTCAGCCTGTTATTTTGTTATATCCCTTTAGATTTTGGATCATACCAAAAATATTTTCACCCGTGTATTTTACTAAGCCGAGCATGCTCATAGCACGCGCTTTAAACTTCTTTAATTCAGGTATAGTGGTTTTCCCGTAATTGACGAATTGTGAATATATATCTTTATAAGATAGTGTCATCCTTAGTACATGAATATTAAAGAAATGCCAAAAAAGAAATATTAGGTTATGAGAACTTATAGCTTAATACTAATCTAAAAAATACACATGATAGTTATAAGGACTTTATTTATTATGAGAAGTGATGTAATTAATGAACCTCTCAATTTAAAAAGAAAAAATACAGCAACTAATACAAGTCTTTTTCATACAATTACATTATTCGTATCTGATAATGATATTAGCTTTTTCACTTCTACTCTCAATAATAAAGGATATTTATAAAAATTTATCGCAGAGATCTGATAATAAATAATAATAAAAAACTGTTATACAAATAATGCATAGAACATATCCTGAATATTTTGAATAATACAGTTGATTTAAAAATGTCGGGCACGCAACTTTGCGGTATTAAAAATTTCTTAATAAGATTTTATACAATTTATTCGGTTTGCATTGGTGTTACTTCATTTATTTACGATGTCAAAACAAAGACCTACCAACAGAAGACATTAATTCGTTATATTGTTACTATTATTAATATTTTTTTATGCCTAATTATACCTCATTTCTTTTGGAAAAGTTTATACGATATTAAACTAGTTACATTCCTGATGACCACTACATATCAACTCTGCCTTTTTATGCACTTTGCAATAATGTACTACGATATTGTATTCCGGTTCAAGAGAGAACAAAAAGAAGCAACAATGTTTCTTACTTTTAAAATTATTGAAAATAAATATTTAAAATATTTTACAATAAACCAATCCGCTAATAGATTCTTCAATCGATTACTCTACAGTATTTTTTTAGTTTGGATTTATAATTGTATTTTGACCTTTTCGTCAAGATATTCCAGAACTCATACATGGATAATGACTATTTATGTTTTTACTTATACAAATTGTGTAAATTATATGCATTTGATAGTGCAAAGATATATGCTAGGATTATGCTTTATTTGCCGAGTATTATACTATATCAATGCGAGACTAGATGCATTACTACAACAAGTTGAGAACCACTCAACAGTTTGGATGAAAAGCACGCATTTGGAAAAGCAACAACTTGAATCAAAACTCTATAAAAAATTGCAAAAACTATATCGTCTACATAGACAGTTAAAAATATTGATAATGAAATGGATTGACATTTATAGACTGTGCATACTGGGTGTACATATTACTCATCTTGTATGGATAATTACATTTATATTCTTTACTATGGTCATGGCAATAAATGACTCATATAACACGTTTTGGTTGATAAGTTGTAATACATATAGTATATCCTTTCTTATCGAACTATTTTTATTGCATACAACATGTGAATTCATACTTAAATCGTATAAGGAAACTTCATTTATATTACGGAAACATAACACTTGTTCTTCGGATTTTCTAAAAGTTAACAGAATGGTATTTAAGTGATGAATATTGAAGGTGAAATCATATTATATAGAATTATTTGTTTTTTTTTTTACAGATCGAGGAGTTTTCATTGGGACTTTGTTGTCTGGATGTGAAACTGACAGTATGTAAATTATTTCATATAAGCAATCGTGGTTTTTTTAATGTTTGCGAAACACTTTTAAAATACGCTATTGTTATAGTCCAGTTTCATCTTTTATATGAACATAACTTTAATAAAAATACATATTGAAAATAATTGAACTGCTTAAGTACCATAACTAACTTAATTATAGTTAATGAATTATAGTTATAGGAGTAATTATAACTCCTAATCGCAAAAATTATATTGTTTATACATTGTGCATTAGTATTTGTACTCTAACCCCCAGTTCTCTCAACAAACTGGAGTTTTGTCACCGTATTATTATTAAAACAGCATAATTACTAAGCTTAAGAAACAGAAATAATAATCATGGAGAGTAGTCGTAGCAAACTATCTATAGAGATACCAATATTATTGATATAAATTAAGTAAATATTAAATGTTGTTGTGGTAACCCGGAACCTAAAAGCAGAGAACATGAAAGATTTTATAAAGCGAAAACATGTATAAGAATGTAGATGAGTGATGTTTGAAGATAATGAAAATCAAACTAAATCCAGACGGAAAAACCCGGCGATTTCATTGGGACGTGGTTACAAGGAACAAAAGTGCGTGTATGCAATGTGCCAAGAAAACAGACGGACGACGCGATGAAGGGTAGAGCTGCAATTTGGACACACATTAGGAATAGATGTGTTTATGCGTGACAACTGTTTAGCACTTGGCTATATTCTGAACTCAATCGAACTAAAACAGTTATTACTGCACAGGAGCGATATTGTTCTTCCTGAGCGGTGTGAGGCAGGGGGGTGTTAAGAACATTGTTGTGAGTCAACCTTGGTCTCGAAAAGAAAAGCGATTTTACAAGCCGGTATGTTTTAGTTTTAACATTTGTCGTCTATATTAATTGTTAACTACCATCGATAGTTTTTAAAACTACTTGTAAAATCCACTTGGGGGTTATACATGGCATTTAGTCGTCGAGACTGACGAGTGACTCCGTAAGCGTAGACTCGATTGTTCTAGGAAACTCCACTATCCATAGCCTTGACCACCGGTTTTTTGGCACCATTATTGAAAAATATGTTATTTGCAAAACTAATCTAAATATATATTGTCAAAGAAAATCATCACGAAAACAATCATTCTTTTTAAACCGTTTTTAAATACTAACATTTATACTAATATAGAAACATTTATTGCTAATAAATATCTTAAATAAATATCTTTCTATAAGCAAATCGAACTAATCATTATTAAGATAAAGAAAACGAACTTTATATGCCTCTCTTATCTACACTTTTAAGATATGGATAATAACAATAACAATTATGAATTTAAAACAAATTTACCTGAACACGTGAATAGGGTTCAATAATGCGACATAAGTTTTGTTCCTGCATTGTCTCATATAAGGTTCCTAAATGTGCTTGCACAATCGAATCATCGACCAATTCCTTTTTATAATCTTTTAATGCTTGTTGGAAATCGGCTAATGAACGCTTATGTGACGCCTCTGCGATACTTTTCATTGCATCTATATCACGACCAGCATATGTAATAGCCTACAATGAGATATGCCATAAGAAATTCATTAAATTTGAGATAAAAATAAACTTACCAATTTACCGCTAACAATTTGATTAACATCGTCAGACTGGCCCAACATGATTTTACATAGTAACATATATTTGAGTGAAGTTAATGCTTTACTATTGTCCACCGTATCGAAACCTTCAAAAGCTTCATAAAAATATGAGAAAGCTGTTTTGAAGTCCCTTTCATCTGCTGCATGTAGAATACCAGACTGTAAGTCTAGTGCACCTTGTACTTTGGGTGGACAGTAGATTGCATTTGCGGTTGTACGAGCGGAAGTGAGTGCAGCACGTGCTTTCGGTAAATTACTTAAAGCGTGATAAGTCTTACTTTCTAGCAACTGCACTTCAACTAAAAGATTTTTATCATCTAATTTTTTTAACTCTTTCAGAAGTTGCGAACCCATTTGTAGTGCTTCCGCATATAACCCAGTATCGTAATACAAAGCAATAAGACGTGATTCCAAGGACTGACGCAAAAATGTACGCTTCTCTTGTTTAGCCCATTCAATACAATCTTTACAAAGTTGTACCTAAAAAATTTTATAATGAATAAGTATATAAACCTTATATTAAATAATTATATACAAACCTCAATACCAGTGCCAGCATCCATATCAAGGAACATATCAACTAAGGATCGAACCAATTTTGCTGCTTTTGCCTTACTGATATAACTCAAGAATGGTCGTGTAACCTTGATCAGATCAGCTAACTCCTTAGCTTTACCCTCCTGCTTGTACAGTTCGCCAAGCTGGAGTATGCCTTGCTCCTTAATGCGAATAAGTTCCTCGTCATTTTCTGCTACCTCTTGTTCACGCACTATTTGACTTAATAAAGATATGCCCTCCTCACGACTAACGCTTGAAAGTGCTTGTGCCTGTTCAAACAAAAGTGCTCCAGCCATATCTGATTTACTATAATTATTTATATCAATTAACTAAAGTCTTTTGTAATAGTTGCTTTAAATAAACTAATTATTTTAAGTACAATTTATTTAATAGTTCACTACAAATCGACTGGTAGGTTTCTTTAAGACGGCAATGTACTCTTTATATTTGTTCACCTTTGTGTGTTTTATGCGGCTGACTCTTATGTCAGTTTTCTATGAACAAGCGCCAGTCATCGTCATAGTGCTACCAACTCATATTATATTTCTCTTCCGAGTTTGAAATTATATGTCAAAAGTAGAAATATTCACAATAATTCTATGAACTACATACTTTAATGTGTTCATTTTAAATACAAAATTTATATAAAATAGAAAAAAGAATCTTAAAAGCACCCTAGGACCATATTATGCAAATAGTTATATGATGAATGGTCAGCGCGGTTACGCAAAAATTTATAAAACGAACAGTCAGGGCAGTTTAAAGGTTTTTCTGGTGATGGTGGGCATATTATGCAGCGTCAATATTTTTTCATTTTCTTTGATTGTGCCTACATTTTAAGGATTACATTTTTTGTTTCGATATGCTTGCATAATCACATAAAATTAAACTTATTTGCTCAATAAAGAAGTAAATGTTTAAATATATGACCAAGTTTACAGAACACGATCCTAAGGCAATACACCTATTAACAGAAAGCCTTATCATCGACACCAAAGCTTAATCAAACTTTTACTCTTACATCCATTTTCAAATTTTTGATTAAATATGGTCTTAATACATTTAAAAATGTCGCATTATTACCTAATCAGATCGATTTTCATTTAATTTTTTAACGAAATTATTAGGATTCTTTGAAATTATTTTCATATTGTTTAAAAATTATTTCACAGCAAATTTGTGAAGTGTTCACACAACTTTTAAACTAATTCCCCATTGGATTGATCGTTAACTATTGGATAAAAGTAACTAGCTTTTTATTGCTTTGAAGCAAAAAAATTTCTAATAAATATTAATCCTTCGACTTAAAAAAGTTGATATATTATCTTTTAACAACATTAATTTTCATATCAGTTAATTTATGTTTATTATGAATGGTTACATGTTAGGGCAGCATTTTTCTAGAACTGACATAAAATTCAAAAATGCAAAAATTTAAATCCAAACAAAAAAGCATGCTTCGGCACTTAATTATAATTTATATGCTCTAAAACAGGGCTTTACATACCAATCACGAACCAATAGAAATTATTGTACGGATTGGAGGGCAGCAGAAACAACTACATACGCTTGTACTTGTTTTTGACAAAAATAAAAATTCGGTTATAATGTTAAATTTAATTTTATTAATTGAACTTTATTTGGTTTACGATAAAAAATAATATGGTTTTACCAGTACGCTAAAAGAAGTAATTTTGGTATTTGTGGTAGATTAAAAAGATGTCACTAACTGCACAAACATAAGCCGCGGGCCGTGCGCGATAATTCCTCTGGTTTTATATATATTTCCTTTCAACAACGAAAATGCTTTCAAAGCGAAACATTTAAAAACATAAAGATGTTACAAAAATATTTAAATTATTGTATATTCGCTTAATCTAGCACCTTATATATGAACATGCTTATATTTAGTTTTCTAGAAGAGACTTTGGCTTATAAATCTAAACAAACTCATTTTTTATTAAAAATTTAAATTTAACCTTACACCCGCTTTTTCTTAATTTTTTTGTTGAATACATTAAGAGCCTAATAAGGTGTCGAAAAAATCAAGCTTCAGATTTTGAAACAAAAATAAGTTCTAAATAAAATTTGGTTTTTTACTTATTAAAAATTACAGTTTATAGTGTTTTAAAAAAAATCTAAATGCAAATGTAAATAATTTGTCGACTAACATAAAAGTACTAAATAAACAAATTATTTTATAAGGATAGTGTCAGTATTCTCATAAACTGTTTATATACATATAATGATATTTCAAATTACCTCGAACTTGTTACATTTTCCATACTTGACTTGAGTAATAAAACAAAAGATATTATAAATTAAACAGTAGGACCAACCTATTATTATTAACCGTCATGTAATAAAATATTCGTGTCACAAATAGAAATTGTTATAAAAACAATTCACAATGTGTTAATTATTTTATTGTGATTGTAAATATATTAATCTGTCCATATTTTGACGTTTTGTCTTAGTAACGCATTTCGTTGCATTTGTACAAAAATGACTTCCAAGAAGATAAAAAATGTTTGTAAATAGCTTAAGGATTTTGTAAATAAATTATAAAAAAATTTTTCAATATAAAACGTAAAAAGTAAAATGGTCGAAGAAACCTCAATGACAAGTAAGCCGCGAATAAAAACAACAAGGCCTAAACCAGTATACCTATGGACAGTATCGGATGTAATTAAGTGGTACGGACGACATTGTAGTGAATTTCCAGATTATCAACCACTTTTTCTTAAGGTAATATTCAAATATTTGCTACTAGTCACTAATTTAATACGCTTAAGCACGTGACTTTATTATTAAATAATTTGACAAACAACATACCAAAAAAAAAAGAATTTTAAAATAAGTTTACGCTTACCTATTGGTAGGCAGTTCTTCACTTTTTTGTACCACTATACCGGGCGCCATTGCTGATTATTCTCCTCAACTTTGGTGTAATGTAGTTTAATTTGGTTCAACAATCAATGACAACATAATTTTTTTTATTCAAAATAGTAATATGCAATGTTCATTAGATTTAGCAACGCCTGCCAAGTTAAAAAAAGCATTAGCTTTTACAGTAAATTTATAATAATATATTGTTGGTATATGTAAAACACAAGTATTGCATATAAGTTGATTCCTATAAGTTATGTCGCGTCTGTAATGTAATTTTAAGTTTAATTTAGCAAATTATATTTGATTATTAGTCAACTTAATTTAAATCTATTTCATTTTAACAACTTTTTAAAATTTCCCAGAAAGACTGAAAAAAAATCAACTAGCAAATTTAATATATTTGGATATCTCAATGGCAACATGTTTAGTAGAGGAATGCCTCTAAGGTACATCCGTCGTTTCATATCATAGATATATAGACACCCACTACAGCGTTCAGTACTGATGCAGTAACTTCTTCAGGACTACTATTATAATGCGACAAATTTCTCGATAGACACCCACTTAGCATTTCCTAGGAAGAACAACGCATTCTCTATGCAGCAAAAACTGTCCTAGCTTAATTGAGATTTATATATCTCTATATATCTTAAGATATGTAAGATATATAAAGATATATATCTTAATATGTATGTGCTAAACAGTTGGTTATTTCGCATAAATGCATTAATAGAACTGCATCTCTATATTCATGATATGCTCCAACACACACACGAATGTAAGTCCAACCGGCCTTTAAACCTACCCCAGAGAAGTGGCTAGGTTTCTCTGTCCTGATCCTGGTTGATTTCAATTTAACATTAACATTTCTGTTCAAAGGTTTAACATTTTCTAACACAATTGTCATTACAAACTTTTAGTTTAAACGCGCTTATAGGAGTCTAAATTGAGTCCCCACCGTGACAGGTGGGGAATCGTAGATCTACACTTTTGAACCCTAAACAGTAGTCCACTGTTTTGGTCTTCCAAAATGAGCAGAACCCGACAAAAGTTTCTCACGGACGGAATAATTTCAAGCAAATGGTCGCATGTTTTTCAGAAATACCGGTCATCGATGACGATGAATAGGGTCGTAATGATATAG